AATTCAGTGTTATCAAAAAAATATTAAAATAGGATTTTTAGTAGAGTTTTTCTACCATGATTGGACGTTTTCTTTTTGAATTCAGTGTTATCAAAAAAATATTAAAACAGTTTTAATAGAGTTTTTCTACCATGATTGGACGTTTTCTTTTTGAATTCAGTGCAATTAAGAAAATATTCAAACAGTTTTTAGTAGAGTTTTTCAATCAAAAATTGGAAAAGTGAAATCAAACAGTATTAAAATCCGCTATACACTGTTTACCTGGCTAATTCAACTCGTATGCGACCGCCTCCCCGTGGCACAGCTGCATGTCTGCGGACTTACAACGCTAGAAAACCGCTTCAACGCTTCAAACAAAACCTATACCGCCATTCTCAGTTATTTGGTTGGCTAAAAATGTTTGTCAGATAAGCAAAATCTTGACTTCTAATCCCAGCAGTTTTAAATCTTTTCCTTGTTGTTGTTGTTGCTGTTTTGTTTCTTTGTTTTAGTGTAAAATTAAATAATGTGTTTATCTGCGTTACGTCTTCCGCCGAGAGAATCTAATCCTGAATTCTAGCGTCACAGCTTACAGCTGAACCATCGTAGGTCTGTTTGTTTGCAGTTAAGTCCAAAACTACACTATAGGCTATCTGTGCTGTGCCCACCACGAGAATCGAAACCCGGTTTTTAATGTTATAAGTCCGCAGACTACCTGTTATGCCACAGGAGTACACCCCTTCATTGGCCATCATAAAAAAAAAATGCGAGATGTCTAATAAGAAATAAATAAATTAAAACAAACAAGAAATGCAGGAGTACATCCCTTCATTGGCCATCATCAAAAAAAATGCGAGATGTCTAATAAGAAATAAATAAATTAAAACAAACAAGAAATGCAGGATTTTGAGTTCTGTGAAGCCTGAAATATAATTTTGAGTTCTGTGAAGCCTGAAATATAACTTTAAGGTTACTTTACAATTCGATTTCAAATACTGATTCAGAAAATTCATAAACAAAATATTTTACAAAAACGATATGTCATCTTTAACATTTCTACAGTTGAAAGATTTCATAAATATCACACATATATTATATTTTAATTCCAAATTTGTTTAAATTTATAATACCGTTATATAAATATAAACAACAACAATTCATTGCTCACATATTCTGTAATATTTAAAAGTTTAATTTATGTGACACTTGATAAAATAAACTATACATTTTCTGGTAGAAAGTGCCTAAGATAGAATAATCGTGGAACTCATTAATTCTAATGTAAAATTCACGTTTAAGAACATAAGTTATTGTTTTTCTTTCACATTCCACTTAATTAGTCCTTCCAAATAACGTTTCAGATCACAGACTTATACTGTATTTGTGGATGTTTTGTTTGAACGATGTTCATTACGATGTATCGAATCTTGGATTTTAACGTTGTAAGCTCGTAAATCTACCGTTGACCCACTAAGGGGGGAAATTGTATTGTACGAATGGAATCAAATCCCTGATTTTAGCGTTGTAAATCCGAAGACTTACCGCTGCCCCCCCCCCCCAGGTTGGCATATTGTACGACGTAAATGTTTCGAAGAGACATATTGCCTAGCTTGTAAGTATCGCTTTGAAGGAAATGTTTCTAAGCTAATGATTTGTGACAGATTAAAAACGTGTTTGACAGGTAATTCTTCAAAGTGATTGCACCCCCCC